CCTCATGGCTCTCTACAGCTTCCTGAGGAGAGGACGTGCAGAGGGAGGCGCTGAGCTCTTCTCCCTGGGATCCAGTGACAGGACGCGTGGGAATGGCTCAAAGCTGCGTCAGGGGAGGTTTAGACTGGATATTAGGAAGCATTTCTTTACCGAGAGGGTGGTCATACGCTGGAACAGGCTTCCTAGAGAGGTGGTCGATGCCCCAAGCCTGTCAGTGTTTTAAGAGGCATTTGGACAATGCCCTTAACAACATGCCCTTAACAACTTTTCGTCAGCCCTGAATTGGTCAGGCAGTTGGACTAGGTGATCGTTGTAGGTCCCTTCTAACTGAGATAGACTGTTCTATTCAATAAATAACTAAAACCAAAGAGATGAGAAGTTTGACATTTATTGTACATTTTTATATTTACATTTTTAGCTTATCTTTCTGCAAGATACTGTCTAGTGTCAGTTGACTCTTTTCCTTAAAGTCCTTCTTAAAGCCTTAAACCATTCAGAGGCTAAGCAGAGTTTCTTCAATGAGATGCATGTGAATTAAGTGCTGTGCTGGTATAGAATGTTGTCCATGTATTTCTATGCAGTTGTATGGCCAAACTCAAGAGTTAATGTATTCATCAGCAAACCATTATAAAAATATATTTGACTTAATGTTATAAAAGCTAAATTTGAGGTCACTTGCTGGTGCTTTGAGCTTCTGAAAAGAAAGGTAGTTAAGCATGTAAGAATTTTTACCAAATTTGAAGTATGTTTTAGAGAGTTATTTCGTTAACTATAATAATAATAATAATTCAGATATTTAGGGAAAACCCCTCTGTTCTTGTGAACTTCTTATTCTAGGTATTTCAGCTGCGGCCTGGAGATCATGAAAAGTATGGAGGTGATCCTGAGCAGCCCCACAAAATCCACGTTGTTACTAGAATAAAAAGTGTAGTTGGTCGCCCATATTGGGAAAAGAAGATAATACGTGATCTTGGACTGGATAAAGTATGATTGTTGTTCTTTATACTTATTGTGTGACATCAGAAATGTAGAAACCTAGGGTAGAATTAGGGCAGTGGGTTTTTTTTAAAGACCTCAGTTTTGCAGTTACAAAACTTGGATTGCTTTACAGCTGCTGTAAATGTAATTGAGAAATTGATGATGTGTTTAAGAGCTGAGAGGAACCTTAATGGCAAATGCCCTTTTAGTGGGAATTCAGAATATCACTGTATGGTATTGCTCTGCATGCCTGAGGAGAACTTTACCTTGAGAATTCTGCTAAAATAATAAAATAGATTTGTAAATACTTTGAATTCGGTTTTCTCTGTGGGTCATATTATTCAGATATTTCAGGTAGGCAAATAAGACTCATTTATTAATGAAAAGGCTTCCAAATCCAAGACTCTTAAGAGTTTGTGTCAAAGATGTTTATCCAAATTTTTTAGGCCAACTGCACATTGTGCAAAGATTCATCTAGTCAGTGTGATATTACAGAGAAGAAAATGTGTGCTTGATTAATTTAAGATCTAACTGAAGCAAGCAGTCTTACCCCTAAACTCCTGTATTTACATGTATAATATTTTTAACAGTTGGAAGAAATTTGAGTATATTGATAATATAATGGCAATAAAGCTGAATTTGTTATTTTACTGGAATTGAATTTGATCAAGTTTTGATTTCATATTTTTCTGTATGTTCTTGATGCATGACATTTCTGTAAATCTTATATTTGCAAATGTGGTTTATATTTTTACTGATAGTGTGAAAAGTTCAGTGAACAGAGATTGGGGTTTTGGCAATGCATTTGTAAAACCTGTTCTATCCTTTATACAGGCACATCAGCCAAGACTGCACAAAAACATCCCTTCTGTGAATTCCAGACTGAAAGTTATTAAACATCTGATAAGGTTTGTTAACTATCTGTTTAATTTGGAACACTCAATGTAACTCTATTCTAGTCATAGGAATTCACTAAGCAAACTCTTTTGCCTGTAGAATACAGCCACTGAAACTACCTCACGGATTGCCAACAGAAGAGGAAATGTCGGACACCTTTCTTACAAGCAAGGGAGAGCTTGTCATTAAACGGCATCTGAAACCTGTGGAGCAGAAAGAAATTAAGTCGTAAGGTGTGCTGGTTGGATTTATATTTTATAAAATAAATAATTTAACTCCCGCCTTAAGAGTTCGTGTATGAAATGTAAGTTTAATTCTTACCCTCTCTGGTATGAGTGACAGGGATGACACTGATGCTTAAAGAAGGATTACATGTGTACAATATAAAATACAATACTGGTAATGTTTGCCTGAAATATTAAATGAATGATAGGCTTTCTTTCCTTGTGTTTTAACTTTGCGGCTAGATTACTGCAGTTTATGGGTAGCTATTAGAGAACGTTATAAAAAAAGTCAGATAAGCAAGAGAAGTAAGTAGAATGGCTCTAACTGATGATGGTGAGGACATTTCCCAGCTAATAGTAAAGGTTTACAATGGTGGTGCATGACTTCACCTTTACTGCACAAAGGAAGGAACTGGAATTGAAAAGCTCTCTGTTTACCAGTTACATGAGAATCGACTGGATACCCACCGAGAGTGTCATTTGATTGAGGCAGGCATTTGGGTGACTTACCTTGGTCATTCAGATCTCACGCTTGTTCCTTAGCAAACAGTCTGTCATCTGGCCTCCTCTGCAGCTTAAAAGGTCCCCCAGCTCCCTGTATGGGAGTAACAGAAGGAATGATTCACATCTTGGTAGGCTGTATAATTTGTCCTTCAGGAAACATGCTATCTCACTTCATATGTATTTCTTGATCCTAAACTTCAATAATAATAGCCTAAGAGCTGCCATCTATGTGAAAGTTGATGCTTTTCCTGTTCTAAAATTGCACACTTTAGAAATCTGGAGACCCTGAAGCATACCTCTGATGCAAGTTAGTAATTATGGGCTGCAGCTTATAAAATACCACCTCTTACTGAAGGATCTTGAATAGTACTGTGTGCATATTTTTATTTACAGTTTTAAGAATTGTGACCAAAGTTAAGAAGCTGTTGCTGTATCAAATGATAAAGTAGTTTTCATTCCAGGGAGCATAAATTCCATAGTTTAACACACTGTGAGCCTCTCCCACACTAGAGACGCTGTAGAGGAGTTAATCTTAATGGCTGTATGTTCCGAGAAGATCAGAGGGACACAGTCGCTGAAAATGAATGTTTATCCTTTCTGCCTGCTTGCAGAGAAGAGTAAACACCAGTAGGAGTTCAAAAGAGTAGACATATCAGTAGAGGGACACAAAAGCTGGAGATACTGTGTGCAGGAGAAAGAAAAAGAAGGATAGGCTATCATAGGGGCATTGAAGACTATAATGGCTCCTACAAACAGGCCAAAGGCAGAAACGCAAGATTGAGCTGAAAACCCTCAATTTCTCAACAAGATACAGGCTGTAGTTGGAAGGACACAGAAAATACTGGTGTCAGTCTGAAGTATATAGAATAGCAAGGAAAAAGTGAAGCAGATAAGTGAATGTTGCTTTTCTTCCCTCCCTCATTCCTTCCAGTATCTGCACAGCATCTTGCACTGCAGTGTCTTATAACTGGAGTCTCTGCGTGGTGTTGACCGTGTTCCTACAGGGAGGTTCTTAGTAAAGCTGAAATTTCAGCTCTTTTGAAGGACGTGTGTAGTGCATCCAAGGTGCAGGGCGTGCTTAAAAGAGATGGCACAAGTGCTAGGGCCCAGGAAATTAGGTGAATGGATCTTGTTGCTGAGGGACAGCAAATAAAAGTCTTGTAGCAGGCACGGTGGCCAAGAGCACCAAAGCCAGGATCGCTCAGCCTTGCCAAGCACGTTCAGGATTTGTGTCCATGGCACTGCAGCCTGGTGAATCTCCAACAGAGGGAGCGCTGCCAGTTCTGTCATACAAAGTATGTGTATGAATATGCATCTTCTATTCATTACACTATATGGATGCTACAACCTTCAAAAGTACTGCAGTGTAAACCAGAAAGAATGTGTTAATGAACGAGCTTGCTTGGTACTGTGCACAACTTAAAAAGTGTGTGATAAACTACCTAAGTTAGGTCAGAGCTAGTAACTGCTTCCCAAGTACAGGAAAGGGAAAGGGCTTTAGGTAGTACCTGTTATTTCTGGATAAGATTTAGCTACAAGAGATGTTTACAGCTGTCTTTAATTGACAAGCTGGCAGTTTTAATGAAAAAGGAAATTGTATTTTCTTAAAATTTTTAATATATGTGTAGGTTTGGGTGTTTCTGAAATGGTATTTTCTCCAAGTTCACAACTGTCATACAGTCAATCCGCTATCCCAAACCTTCTCTGTATAAGCATACGTTCCCTAAAGATTGGCTCTTGGGTTGAAAACCTGAACCAACGGGGTGCACAAACAGTGTGTGTGTCCACGTCCTTTCATTATTGGAGCATTGCAAATGCTTCGTGTAAATCTTCATGGAAGCACCGGTAAGACATACTGCCTTTTCGTGCAGGGAACAAACAGGCTGACTTAAGACAATAGCAAAATTCTGGTTGGAAGGTACCTTGTGGGTCTCTAGTCCAACCTCCTGCTCAACGCAGGGCCAGCGCTGAGGTGAGACCAGGTCACTCAGGACTTTGTCCAGTTGGGTCTTGAAAACTTCTGAGGAGAGGGACAGCTCAGCCTCTCCGGGCAGCCTGCTCTGCTGCCTGGCTGTCCTCATGGGGAAAAGGCTGTATGCAGAATACAGTCTTGTATCCAGTCTGAACCTCTCTTCTTTCAGCTTATGCCTATTGGCACTTCTGTTCCCACCTTGCACTGCTGTGAGGAGCCAGCCTGGCTCCATCCGCTCAGTTATCCCTCACAGGCAGGTACTGTGGGGCTGCTCTTAGGTCCACCTGAAGCTGTCCCTTCACATGGGGCAAGTGCTCCAGCCCCAACCACCTTGGTGGCTCTCTGCTGACCACGCTCTACTTAATTGTTCTTTCTTGTGCCAGGGGGTCCAAAACTGGACGCTACTCTAGATGTGGTCTAACAAGTGCTTAGTAGAGGGGTGTAATCCCTTCCCTTGGTCAAGCTGTTCTGTTCATACAGCCCACGGTACTCTTAGCTGCCTTTGCTGCTTGGGCATACAGCTGGCTGACATTGAGCTTGCTTCTTGGTTAGGAACCATTTGCCATGTCTATCTTCTGTGGCATTTAAAGTATATTCAAACAAATCTTTGGTGCAATATGTGGTAACAATGTAGAAATGTCCTGTTTTAAGAATAAATTTGTATTTCTGTGCTATTGCTCTGTTGCAGGTTCACTTACTGTTACAGACTTGGTAATTAATACTGTAGTGTGAGTAGAGCAATACAATTCTAATAATAGGAGCAGGATATTTTTAATCACAACTACAAAATACTATCTATAAAAATGCACAATATTTAAAACAACCAAACAACCAACCCCCTTGTGCTCTTTGTTGTTTCTCCTTTAGCTCCTAGTGATACGCTTGAGGGTTTTTTTTTCTAACCACTCTAAACCACTTACTTTTCTCCCCTGTCTTGAAATGGCTGAATGAACTCAACAGCTCTGAAGTTAAGGCTCCCCAAAAGCTTTACTATGTGATTGATTAAAAGGATCTGTTTATTGTGCATGAATTTGCATCAGATTTTATAAACTACACGCCATTTCAAAAACATGATGGAATGTGCATAATCTTAGTCCAGACCCCGCATTGAAGCTAATATATAGCTTCAATAAAAGTGTTCATTACAGCAGCTTGAGTTTTACAGATTGTTTGCAACTGTAAAGGCTAAAATGAAGTAGTATCGAGGGGAAAAAAAAAAAAAAAGTTAAGGATAGCTTAGTATTTTCCCTCCTGTCACAAGAAACAGCCACTTCAGGGTCACACCACCAAAGTTAAGAGCAGTTATTCTGAAAGGATATGATACACTGAGATACACTCTTCTGGTAGATTAAACATCAAATATTCAATTCCAAAATTGCAGATTGTTAACAACCAATTTTGTACTGCTGTTAGACACATGTATTGACAGATAAAATCTAAGGCAGATAAAATCTTGTTAAGCAGTGCTATAACTTTCTTGAAGCATTAATCTGCTGCGTGAGAGACTGAAAGCACAGATGAAAACTCTGTTTGAATATTCTTGTGAAGTGAGAGAAAAAATACATTGCAAAAGATAGGTTGCAGTTTGGATTATTAGTGGTGTTATCTTTTAAAGTGATTTTTTTTAGCCGTAGCTAAAAAAAACCCCATTGAAAGCTTGCACTTCTTTCTGGCTTCATTGCCTTGCCCCGTTCTTACTCTTTCTGGGGGAGAAATCCAGGATATTCTTAATTAGAAGCAAAGTATGCAATCAGTGACTCAAATCTAACCATTACTCAGATATCTCAGTATCCATTTCTCTTATAAAACTTGGCTCTTGCAACCACGTCATTGGCGTAGTCATTGTGTGTTGTGCCGATATCCATTCTGTCATAGCTCTGGACGTTTTTAGGTCCCGCATTATAGGCTGAAATCCCACCTGAAATGAGAGTGAAAGGAAGACATAAACAGAGATGATACTTCATCAGTAAATAAGCAAACAAACAAAAATCACAACTTAAATGTGTTGCTTTAGTCTGCAGCTCTCTTTTCACCAGTATTGTAATTACCATTTCCAGCTATTTTTGCCACTGAGGTGTTCCTTTTGTGTTTTAACTTTGTGAAGAAATCATAATTTCCTCCTTTACATCCAGACTTGGTGGTCATTGTCCCCTTGCTGTATTTTGCTAACGTAACATCTTCAGTTGTATGACTTTCCTTTTGTGCATATTCCTTCATGTCTACCTGCATTAATAACCTCAGACGTATTTGAATTGTAGTTGGAATAAAGGGATCCAGCTGTGATGGCTTCAACTGTAATCAGTGCTCAAGAATATAACCATGTTTCCTTCAGAGAGGACCATACATTTCCAAAATTAATGTGTTCCTTCTTTGGAGTTGCCAAGATAGTAGCTTTTTGTAGGTGGGTGTGGAAATACAAAACAAATTAAATGGAGAGAGCCGGGGAAAAACTCACCCTTACTCCTTGCAACTGAAAAATGTCATGATATTTGCCAAGTTTTCCAAAAGCCTGCTAGAAAGCTAACCACATCTTATTCCTCTATTCCTTTTAGTGAGTGTCAAGGAATATTGTTCCACACCTCAATAAAATGAACAGGGGGACTGGGATCGATTTAGTTTTCTGAAGTGCTTGGTTTTACAGCGTTAATTGTGCTTGACTTTTTTGTATGTAAAGTGTTTTAAAGCTGACAAAACTCTACCTTTGAGCTGCTGTTCCTTTGTCCACGTTGGGAATT